CACACACACACACACACACACACACACACACACACACACACACACACACACACACACACACACACACACACACACACACACTGACACACATACATAAACACACAAACACACGCGCACACATATATGTATATATATACACACACACATAAACACAAACACATACATATATATAATTCATTATTTATACAGACACACAGCAATAGAGACATTTCTTCATCATTCCTGTTGATCTCTCCTATAGATTGTATCACACAATCTCTTCTACTTGCAAAATAATTGCTTTTTTATTTGTCTTTCTTCCTGTGGCTGCCGTTCATTCAGAGAGGCGAAAAATATTTGAGAACCATTCGATAAGATGAAAGTACATGTGAGTTGATGTGCACGGTGAATGCGCCATACTTAGAATAATTTTACAGTACGAATGTAAATAAAAATGAAAGCTAGATGTCATTTTAAAATTAATTTTTTACAAGTTAATGCATTTTTCATTAGAGCTTTTGATTTGTAAGTAAGTTGAAATTTGCAATAACGGTTTAATATTCAAGTTTTTAAGTTTTATCATTAATTTTGTGACAATTACATACTAGTTTTTGTATGTCATGTCCAACATGTAAGGAAATAAACTTTTGTTATAAGTTTTTTCAGCAGTTCTTCAAAATTGAACGATGAGTTAATAAAAGACTTGTACTTTACAAGATTTTTAATTTCTATACATACATACATTTGTATACATGTGACGCAGGTATATATTTTATGTCTGCGTCACAGAATGAACTTTGTTGGACTATATTCATGTTTAGACCATTATATTTTCAAAATAAAAAAATTGTTATTCATAATTGTAAAGTTTTTGTAAGTAACGTACGAAATGTCCTCAGTTAATTTTTCATTGATAAAGATATTTTTCATGAGGATTATAACTTTTTTTTTATTTTTTACAATATTCATTTCTTTATTTCATTTGCAGCAGTAAATTCCAATAAATAGAAAACAACATTTTAATTCTAATTAGATAATTATCTAACTGGTAGCAACAATTAACTTCCTACTGAAATTGGTGAGTTACGTTGAGCATTTGCCATTTTTGTCCATGTTTTAAAATTATACTGCATGAAATGTCTATAGAATCTAATGTTAACACATTGTTGAATGGTTTCCGTGTATATTCAAAATGTCGAAGGTCTTACCAATTCTTCTTCGTTCTATAGAACTTGGACAAAAATAAACACAAAAAGCGAGAGAAGAATAACCACATTCTTGAAAACTTAAAAAACTTAAAATCAAGGGAACTAACCATGAAGACGAAATTGACAATTATGAGGAATATTTTAAAGCACACCGATTTGCATCTGCCACATTTTCGGATGCAACATTTTGTATTCTTCCAGCCAATCCTTGCCAAATTTTTACCTTTTCCGGGTTTTTTGATATCTTTCACGTTTTGCTCTCGACTGCCCGTTATCTCGTTTGTTATTATGGCTCCGGTCTCCTTCATATTTCCAAGAGATATGGTTGGACTGGAATCCTTTCTCAGGTTGCTTCCTTTGTATCTGACACCTCTCGGGCTATTCTTCATACGAGGTAACAAATTTCTTTTTGGCAGATTGAATCCTCTGGAAAGTTTGAATAATCTTCTACTGGAATGGCCAGCATAGGCAAATGTGCTTTTGAAACATGTCGAAAACTCATCGTTGGAAGTATTGGCTGCGTTGTTGTCGTTAATTTCATTGTCGTTCGTATCGGAGGGAGACCTTGCAGTGGTCGGCAGCATTTGTGGTGGTGGTTGCATCGGCAGGGGAGGCGGCTGCTTCTGCTTCAAGTTCATAGCGTCTCATGTACGCTTTGATCGACGCTTCTATATGAGTTTCGTGGTTTTAAAAGCACCAAAATCTTGAAAAAAATTTTATTATAATTTTAAATAAAATTTGCTTCACCACTATTATTAACTATTTTAATCTCGGTTGAATTTTACGTTTTGGGCTCATCATTTTGAATAAATACAAATTAATTCAAAATAATATTTTTTAATTATTTGGAAATTTAAATATGATGCACTAAAATGAAATCATCTTTGAAGGAATCAGAATTTGGTTTAGCGAGTTGTACTGCAGTTTGGTGGATTAAATTTTAGTCGAAAAATCAAATTATGCATTTTTAATGTTAATCAATAATCAACGGTTTAACCTTTAACGGGACAAAGCTTTTTAATATGGCAAATAAGTTTCATATTAATAAAATTAAACAATAAAAAAGAAATACTTTCTTCCAAAACAAGTTTGTAAAAAATTTCACGAAATGTGTCAAAATATTTAATATTGATAATTATTAAAAATTATTGCAGTAGAACGAGAAGATAAACAAATTTCTCCATGGCAATAGGAACAGCACGACAGATTGGAAGGAAGCAGAAACGCGCGCTTGTCTCACGCAGGACACTTTGATGATTTGCATATGCGATGCGTGCATGCATACGTACGTACGTATCAACGAGCGCGCGCTGCGTCAGTCATGTTATGAAGAGAGCACACCTGTACAAAATCGATGATTCATACCTGAAGTCTCACCTTTATTAGAATTTAACGTTGCCATGGTGTCACCTTCGTCATTGACAAATCCTCTTGTTTCAACGAATAATTTCAGGTCCACAAAGGTATTTAATATCTACTACTCGTTATACTCTCCATTGAACTAAGCCATACTTCAAATTTTCAGCTTCAGTAATTTCACCGAGTGTTTTTGATAAAAATTTTACGAAATGTGAAGATGTTTCTTATAATCATCTTCACATTTAAATTTTTAACGCAAGCAAATTTTTTAATTTTACTATTGTAAAAATAAAATTAAAAAATTCTATTTTCACCTACACAACCATCATTGATTTTATAAAATCAAATAAGGTAATATTTAATTATACGTATCAGCCTAACATTCATAATTAGCAATAAATTATAATTAAATTAAATTCATGGGATTTGCTCCAAAAATAGCTTCTAATCGGCTTAATCCTACCGTAGATATAAATAGTATTGATAATAATACAGCTAGAGTGTCTAATGTTAAATTCTCAGGCTTCTTATTATCTGATGATTTTTCTTGGGTTGATCATATATATTTTGTTTCTAGAAAGATCTCTAAAATTGTTTTTTTGATTAATAAAGTTAGATTTAGATTGAATTTCAATATAATTAAGACTTTATTTTAGTTTAATTTATCCTTATATAACTTATGGTATAATCTTTCAGGGTAATAGTCAGGGTTGTTTCTCGTATGAAACTTTTAATTATTATTTATAATCATTTTATTTGCTGGCCATTTATGTTAAAAAAATTTGACCACATTAGTAATTTTAATAAAACTGCTCACTCACTCACTTTAGATCAAAACTTTAAATTACATCCATTAAAATTTTTAAGCAATTAGCTCATTATAAAATATTGGATTTTATAATTTTGGTATAAATTTTCTTTTTGTATATGTGTTTGTGTGTGTGACTATTTATGTGTATATATCTAAGCTGTATTAATTAATAATAATAGTATTAATTATAAAAAAGTCGGAGCGCAGCACCACTAAGAAACAGTGGCGGATCTGGAAGGTCTGGAGACCATGGCCCCCGTTGTGAGTTGTGTTGTTATTAAAAGTCATTAAAATACAGTTTTAGACATGAAAACACCGGTTTTAATTACAAAATGCAACAAATTGGCGTTATAAGCCTAAAACCTAAAACGTCGCCAGTCTAATTTTGGACATACTAGTAATTTTTTTTCGTCCTTCCATCAATTTTAAAAAAATGTAAACATTTATCATATTTGGCCCCCCGTCAACGTTGTCTAGGTTTGCCACTGTTATGAAATGTGGTGGTAGGTAGGTAAAGAAACAAACGGTTGACGAATCGTGATGAGGTTGGAATGAATTTTTTTTTAAATTATCACGTGTGGTCCTTTCAATGTGTAGTTGTTTTGAATCTAGCTCAGTGTCAATCATTGCCTTTCACGATAAGATAAAAAGCACAATCCAATTCAATAAATTCGCATCTTTTGCTTTTCCAATTTATAGTGGCGTCAAAGTTGTATATGTTTTCTGAGATTGCAAAAAAGCATCAACTTACCTACCTGACAAATTGTTCTACAGGCAAGAGCAAAAGTAAAAAATACCACTCAGAAAACTGCTATTTGCTGCCGACGTTACCCTGATATCACATACGGAGGAAGGGCTTCAACTGTTTATAAACAATGAAATCAACAGCAAGGTAGCAAAAACGGTGACAGTTATAATCAGGCTGAGGAAGAGAGTTTAAGATAAGCTCATAAATACAAGCAAGACAAAGTTGCGTGTTTACGAAACATGTATGCTGAGCACTCTTTTACAGAAGCATAACCTGGACTAGACAGTCTCGACTGGACAGTCCTGGCAATCAATGCTGGAAAGCAAACTAAACGCTTCTCACTCCAGATGCTTGCGTTGCATTTTTAACATTAAAAGGCAAAGAAATCACAAACATTGAAATATTTAAGAGAGCTTGCCTAGCCACTTTACAATTGCTGTTGAATGAGAGATGTTTTTTTGGCTAGGTCATGTCAGAAGAATGACTTCAGATAGAATTTTTAAAATTTTGCCATTTTCTGAATTGAATGGAAGACATTTTAAACTTTGATAAAAAAAACGTTTGCAAGCAAAAATTCGATCGTTGCATTCAAAATAATTTGGAGAAACTGGAAAAATTTGAAGTCAGACAGAGGATGCTGAAGAAACTCACTAAAAGGCAAAACACTAGCAACCGAGGAGAAAAGATTGGCCTGTGACTAAGACGAAAAAGCTTACAAAGAAAAGAACTTGACGGCCTTCTGTTTTTGCGAAATGTTTGCCCACTATGTGGAACAGATAGCTTTGTTCAGCTAGATAAGGTGCAAAACATGAAGTACGCCATCCTCTTTAAAGACAAAAAGATGTCACTGATATTATTATTAGTAGTATTAATAATACTATTATTATTATCTAAATATTTGTATAGCGCCCGTTGTAACATTGAATAACCTAACAGGCGCAGTAGCAGGTACGGCCAAAAAATTTTATACACATATAAAACCGGAGCAAGTTAAAAGTATGCCAACATTTTTTGTCGTATCCGGAAACATTTATATACCATATTTCAATGCAGTCAAGTTTTCAGCTTTTAGATCAATTTAAAAATAATTCAATCTTCTTTATAAAACCGACCATTTCCGGTGGCGAAGCGAGTTAACAGCATGCCCACGTTCTCCTAAAAAACCTTTAATTGTTACGGTTGCGCTTATTACGAGAGCAACAAATCAGGAAGAACAGTGCGCAAAAGTGAAAAGAAAAGAATACCATTTGTTTGGATATGCAGGACAAATGTTTCTTTCCTACCGGGGACTCATCAGTCAGTAACCCGAATACCTGTCTGAATAGTACCGCAGTTTTTCCTTTTATAATCACTTCGTTAGTTTGTGGTGTTTTTATTTATTTTGAGGATCGTTAGTTTTAGTCGTTAGGCTTTGCGATCCGACAATATACAAATCTCATGACAGTCAGTTCATAAATTTATTTCGTCAAAACCATAACGCTATACCCAAAACCTGGTGAATATGTGAAAAACAATGAAATGGCGTAATCTTAATACTTTGAAAACAACAACAGGGTGCGTTTTGAAAAACGTTTATTATATCGCAATAACTTCACGTTAATTTACCTAATACATATATTTCATTTATTTATTTCATACGATAAATTATTTATTTGGTTTAATTTGATAATAACAAAGTAACACTTTGTTTTATTTTGTTATATTCATTGCAATTTTACCTACTTGCTTTATTTGCATTTATTTATTATATTCTAATTCAACTTTACACTAAATTACGAAAAAATGAACTACAAACATATTAACGCCAAACATTCGTTAGAATTTATTTGATTCATTATACATCGATTTATTTTGATTCATTTAAGTTTATATTGTTTATTTTATTTTTTTAACATTTTTATATCACCTACATTATGGCACAAATGTTAAACAAACACGATTTGAAACAATTGCGTCGTGTTCATTGTATTTTTAAAAAGTTAATAAAAAGTTAATTAACGCTAAGTGGGCTTTCAACGCTTTCAACAAAACATGTATTAACAAAAACCTCGTTTCTATATATATATATATATATATATATATATATATATATATATATATATATATATACATATACGAGTTATGTACTCGTACTGGTCGACCGTACTGGAAATTTTCACCCTATATATATATGTATATATATATATATATATATTGTATGAATTCTACCGAATTGTTGTCATTAATCAATTTAAAGTTTGTCTTTTCAATTTTCCTTGCTACAATTTTCTGGAAATTATTCAGCTTGTTGAAAATAGAATTATCAAAATTCATCATGAAAATTAAATGAAACAGTTGTTATCCAAATTCATCACGCAGATAAAGCCTTATTTCGATTTTTCATTAATCATTTCAGTTCATGTTTGGTTTATATAATTTGTTTAAACAAGGCAATGCTCTTCAGCAAAGTTTATTAGTTGGTATCGTATACTTCATCTTTGTTGTTGCCATTCCTTTGTTCTTCATTGTTATTGAAGTTAGTATTAAGGCGTCAAGTTGGTGATGATGTTATCATTCTTTGTTGTTTATTTAGGGTTTATTAATATTTATTAAGACAGCTTCTACAATTTTTAGATGTATTGTGTTGGTATTTTGATAAATTGTTTTTGTGTTGTTGTCAAGAATTTGGCGGGTTATTGGAGTTGCATGTGTTGATTGCAGGTGAGATTTGATGGCTCCTCTTTGTGTGTGCATTGTGAGACGTTTTGATAGTGAAGTGGTCCTAACATCAATATATAGTCGTCAATAGTAGTAAATTCATATATTACATGATTACGCTTCAAAGTACAGTGGCGGATCTAGACAACTTTGACGGGGGGGGGGGCCAAAATTTAAAAAATGTTTAAAAGTTTAATTTTTTTCAAATTTGGACAGGAGGCCAAGATTTGTGGTAGTGTTGCCGAAATTAGATTGGCGACCTTTTTTTGATATAAAATGGTGTTTTTTATGCAAAAGCAGAGTTCTTTTAATAAATATACTGCTCACAACTGGGTGATGCTCTCTCCGGCCTTACTCCAAGATCCGCCACTGAATGTATATGTATAAGTATATATATATATGTATAAGTATATGTATATGTATATATATTCAGTGGCGGATTTTGTACATTCAGTACTGTATTTTAATAGCGCTCTGAAATTCCCCTGATTGTTTTCAGATTTGAGATCTAATGCACCGTCATCCCGGTGTCCACGCAAAGCAAAATATAATATATAATGACGATATATTTATAAATAATATATTTTTTAACTGCTGTAACTTTCATCAAATTTTTCCATCTTGAACAAATTCGACCGCGAATTAAAAATACTTTTTACGTAAAAATAATAGCAAAGCAGACAATGAATGTTTGATATCATTTAAAAATTAAGTTGAACTAGTAAAACAAGTTACAAAATATACGAGTGAAAGAATGAACAAATGAATGAACGAATGAATAAATGAATTAAAAAACGATTGACTGATTGTCTTGAAATATTAAAACAATATCATCCACAAACGAGGTTTTTTTTCAAATACAAAACTCCCAAGCATCATATACAATATAAAGAAACAAATACTTGGTGCACTCACATCTAAATACATATATATATATATATATATATATATATATATATATATAAACGGCAGAAAAACCAGATAAACAATCCCAAAATATCTTAATCAAGATTGACTAGTTATATCAGAAACGGATTTTGAATTTTCTTTTAAATAATTTGTTATAATTTACTAAAGGTAGTCTCTCACAATAAAAGCTAACTTTATTTTAACTCCTTCTGACATTCAAAGCATTTCAAATCATGAAACCTCATTGGTCGTTTGAACGATTCATAAAAATGGGGGAAAACATTTTACTGAAGAATTTAATACTCGTCGTGACTTTAGAGGTCTAAGCAAGATTGCCATAAATTTTATGGCATAAAAGCAGGGCAGAAGCAGCACAAACAGTGAAGTTAGATGATTTAGGATCGCCATTTGACTACGAAATTTTTTTGTCGAACAAAATCACGGCTTTGGAGTATTCCATAGCTCAATTAAATTCAAGGTTTTAAAAAAAATGAGTGTGACAGTTTAGAACATTAGTTAGTTTTGTGACTGTTATGTATGAACTTGGATTTTAATTTTGAAATATTCAGTCAACAAGATTTATTTTAAATAATGTAAAAGTGGGTACTTTTAAATAATGTAAAAGAGGGTACTTATTAAAAGCATAAAGTTATGCTTTTAATATACATACAGAAAGAGAAGTAGATAAGTTTCTTGAAAATGACGGTAGGTCATTTAAAAACTTAAAGCATAAAATTAGTGAAACTGAGCGGTCAATTTTGATTTGCACGTGGGCAGCCTGTCGCCGTCTCAAGCATTCAGCTTACCATAACACCCAGCAACAAAAACCATTAACAACCGACTTCTCTTTGTGAACATTCACTTTATTTATTTATATATTCCCGATTGATTCACGATTTGGATAACAACCACGAAAAAATGACAAGAAAGTTAAAAAATTTTAAAAAGAAACGATACAATCTGATAACCTTGATTGAAAAAATATATATATATATACTATATATATATATTATATATATATATATATATATATATATATATATATATATATATATATGTATATAATATAAAACGCACAATATATATATATATAATATTTATATAATAACGCACAATATATATATATATATATATATGATATATATATAATAACGCACAATATATATATAATATAAACGCACATTATATATATATATATATATCTATATATATATATATCTATATATATATCTATATATATATATATATATATATATATATGGTTTTTGATTCATTAACAATGACTTCAGGTATAAATCTCAAGTTTTTTGTGAATTTATTTGTCATTATATTATTTTAGTTTCTTTTTGAGTTTTTTTTATTTGTGATTTTGCTTGATTATACAAGCCTATAATGGGCTTCTGGTTGGAGTTTGAAAATAAATTAAATATTATTATTATTATTACAAGTCAATTTATATATATATATATATATATATATATATATATATATATATATATAATGTATAACTATAATGCATTGAATAGAGAATTAGAAGACAAAAAGAAGATATATATATATATATATATATATATATATATATATACATTTATATCGGTGTGTGTGTGTGTGTGTTTGTATGTGTGTGTGTGTGTGGTGTGCGTGTGTGTGTATGTAAATATAGCATCTAAAATTATTATTAATTATTATATTATATTATATTGTACTATTTATTATTTATATTATTTATTATTATATTAAAATGCTTTTTAAATTACATGTTCATATACATAGCATCGTTAAATAATTTTAAGTGAAATATCAATCTTGGGCCATTCAGATTAGAAACTTCAATGAAACTAAACAGATATGTTTGAGGCATATTTCAATATGAATATGAATATGAATATGAATATATATATATATATATATATATTCATCAATAATATATATATATATATATATATATATATGAATATATAAATATTATATATATATATATATATATATAATTACTTGTAGCAATCGATACATTTAAGTTTGAGAAATGTTTCAACCAAATCTTGGAGCACATATAATCTATTTATACATTGATACGTATACAAAAATAAAATGATATTCAGCTAATCAGCACGTTTCGAGTGTTTTTTATAACCTAAATTTCTGTTGAGTTTATTTTTTGAAGATTTAAAATGGTAAGTAGTGCTTCCTAATACTCATCATTCCTTCTCCATGAGAATTAAACCTTCGATCATTTTAGGATCCCTATAAGGAATAGCATAAGAGAGCCAGTACACGATGTTGAATATGCCGAAAACCAGCGGAAACCATTTCCTTGATATGCAATCAACTTTCTGCGCACGTAGTTTTCCGTCCAGGTTGTCGATGATTTTTGTAGGGAGGAGTGGGTGAGTTAAAGCTGGCTGTTCTTTTTGAATCACAATGCCTGTTGCCTAAAATATTTGTGCATTTTGTTATTTTGCATAAATTTCTTTTTATAAATTTTAGAACAACATTCAGTTACCATTTTTATGTAAAATGATTTAACCAACGTTACCCTGATATTCATAATTTTCTTTAATCAATTCATAATTGTGCACACAAAATCTTTATTAAACTAACTAACTTGGTCCATTTGATCCTCAACATCCAACCTCTGCATGACTGGCAAGATCCTTGGTCTCCTAGGACCTCCACCTCCTCCTCCTCCTCCAGCACCTCCGACAGTGCCCGTTCCACTCATGCCACTCAGACAACCAGCGGCAGCTTGGGCGGCTGCAGTCAAACCGTCAGATGTGTGGTGTCCCGAGGCGCTGATGGAGGTGCCCGTTGAAGGATTGATTATTCGGGCAGCCTTCCGACGAGAAAGTACATTAACTGCAGCATATTCGAGTAAGGCTGCAAACACGAAAACTAAGCAGACGGACATCCACACGTCTATGGCCTGTATGTAGGACATTGCAAATATCGATTAGTGTAATATCTGAGTTATGAAAATTATAACCAAGTTATCAAATCATACGGATTTTTCTAAAGTTGATTTGTTAAAAACCACTTCTCCGAACCATCATAGTACTTCACAAAATGGTTTCATACAAATTTTTAAGCAGCTGAAAAATGTTTTACATTTTAAAAATCTTTCAATTTCACTAACCACATTTTATTAAGATATAATCGAAATTGTAGTTTGAATAAAAAAGAAATAAAAAAATACGTGTAGTCTGACTATTTGGTTAGTAAAAATAAATGGAAAGTTTGTCAGAATAATTATAAAAATTATTCAAAGTAGAATAACATGTCAGCTTAGTATAAGCATTGGGCAATACTACAAAAACTTAATGTTGGTTGGAAAGCATTTGCGTCATCATTTAATTACTCAAATTAAAATTTATTTGCCGTCTGTATAAATCATGAATAAGTGTGTGACGACAATGAATTTAAGTATTTCCAGAAACAAGGGCCGGATTCACACCTGCGAAAAATCCGCTTGCAATGAAAACATGGGTTCCTAATTGATGGGGATCTGTAATTATTTGTGGAGGGTCTTTTTTTATTTTAAGGAGCACCAAAATAGTTAGCGCAGGCTTATAAATTCCATCATATTTTGAAATACAATTGCTTAGTTGATCACTTTAAACAATTTTTCGGCTTGTTCCAGATAATCAGTTTAACTATCGATAGCGTGAACCAAAAGTTACATCTCAATAAATTTGGTTGACCTGGTTAAGTTCATACTCGAATGTTTATCTTAAAATGTGAACTGCTTATTAGTAGAAAAATAATTTTGGTTTCGGAATCTACTGTTATTTTGATTTAAAATCATTTGAGATGCCGTAGAGTTAAAAATTTGAGATGTTATGTTCCTATCATAGCTTAGTTGATGGTAACCAAATGCCAACCGATTTCTGTTAACTGCTGTATTTTCTTGTTATTTCATTGGCTATATGTTATGTATATGCTGCATGTATGCACTATGTGCTTGAATCTTGCATTGCTGTGATTTTTACGTATGATTCAATTAGGCGCTTTATATATTGACTTCAATTTAAAATTTCAGGATAAAAATTTAAAAAAATGATGTTGGTTATTTGATAATAAAAAGTCAAAATGTTAGCACTTGTTTTTTTTTATAATTTTAAAGGTAAAGAATTGATTCAAAAGATATTAAGATTATAAAATAATTTAATTAATGTAATGTAATTAATTTGATTCAGTTGTTTAAAATCATGCATAATTTGGACAAAGTTTATTTAAATAATCGTTTTAGCATAGTCAAAACCAAAACCCAAGATCATAGTTTGAAATATTTTAAAGAGTTAACAAGACATAGAGGCAGAGAGAATGACTCATTGGAACTCATTAACAATTGAACTTGTTGAGGCACAATCAATGAACAATTGTTGGATGAACAACAATCAATCAACAAATCAGCTGTGCTAGCATGTCTGACAGCATGCTCTCTGGATAACCTCCAAAACAGTATTACTGCTACTACTAATTAAAATTTATTCATAACCATTTCAAACATCAAATAAAACATGATTAATTTAATTGTATGAAACTGAAATACTATTTTTATAACGATTCGAAATAGAATTTGCAAGTTTGATAAACAAACTTTATAAGTGGAATAGCAATCTAAATTACCTTAATGTAGGAAACTCGCGGCAGAGTGGCAGTACTTTGACTGCTTTGGGTAGTGGTGGTCAGAACAGTGAGGAGGCCGATGGAGACTCTGGCAGGCGATGCGTCCACGTTGATCCAGAAGCTGACCCACGAGAGTATTACTATCAACATGGAAGGAATGTACACTTGGATCAAAAAATAACCGACATCTCTCTGCAACAGAAATCGGATTTCTTGGCAAGGATATATTCCTAAAATTATATAATAAATGTTTTTCCACTGTTAAAAATTACATTTTACGATGCAAAACTACTCTTTATATTCATCATCAATTAGAAGTGATTAAAATTTGAATAAAGCAGAGTGTCGTAAAGTTTTTACTGGAATTGGGATCGAAACTATCAGAGCAGCCGGAGTCATAGTTTTTTCGAATTTTAATATTCCAATTTCCATCATCCAAACTTTATCTATTATCTCATTATCTTTAATGATATTTTTGTATTATTATTATTATTATCATTATCAGTAGTACATTAGTTTTAGTAGTAATACTAGTGGTATTACCATTACTACAGTTACTATTAATACTAAAAATACAAGTACTAGAAATTTGAACAAGATGGAGTAGTTTTTAAAAATTACATTATCTTTTTAAATTTATTATTGAATATCTTGATTGAGTGAGACAAATTTTGAAAAATTGTAACTTATTATACAGCGTGACGATAATGAAAGACTTTGGATTGAGTTATTCAGCAAGTAATTTATTAATTTGATGGACCCCGAAACCAATTTATTTTTTTTACATTGCACAATTTATATCTATTTAATAATTTTTGTTTATATTTCAATTTGGAGGTTGTGAAAAAAATAATAGCAAAAAAATTTCAACCTGCAGTGTAGTTTTGAGCGCAGTCGTTCAGAAAATGTCCCCTTAAACTAAACTGGGGCATTTCAAGTCGTTTGTCAATGTCGACAGCTGTAGGCAACCAGGTGAAGTATAAGGTGTCCATTGTGTAACCAACTGTCAATAAAATAATAGAGTTTTATACTTGTGCTTATATTTGAGCCTAACATTTTTTGCAGGTTATTCTGAATCGTTTAAGTTAAAAATTATCATTAATAGCTTTGTTTGTTGTTGTAGTTGTAATGTGGAAGAGTAGGACAATTTTTATTACTAAATGCAATACGGTATAAAACAAAGTAAAGAAAACGTTTTAATCCAAGATTGTAAGTCACCAAGACAGTGTCAAGAAGCTGCTAAAATGTTAATTAAATACTTGGGACCATTAAAAGAATCATTTCAAGCGGGGAACAAACTGTAATAACAAGATTAATACAAATCTTTAGTAAGATCACTTTTGGACCACTATGTACAGGTACACGTACAGTTTAGTTGTCCCTACCTCGAAAAATACAAAACAACCTTTGAGAAGGTCCAAAAAAAGCTATAAAAATGATCACAGGACTACGACACCCGCAATACAAAGAAAGACTTGATGGCCTAACAACCCTGGAAACACGTAGAACAAGACGAGATTTGATCCAAATATACAAACTTTTACGTACAAAGTTGATTCATCGGCTACAAGACTTTTTAAATCGTCTCATAACAAATATAAAAGTGGTCATAAACTAAAGCCTTTCAAAAAAAGAACTGGGCAAATGAAATATAACTTCTTCAGCGACAGAGTTGTAAATCACTGAAGCAGCTTAAATAATGATGCAGTGTCAGCAGAATCGACACATACTTTAAAAGCAAATTGGCCAAATCAGAATTCCAAACAGATGATAATAACTTTTACCATAATTTCTGTCATGCTGTTATGTTAATCAGTTTCAATATTTAATATGTTCAGTAACAAAAATAAAACTCAGAATTACTGGCTTTATTACCTGGACAGATCGCATTGTATTTTATTTGAAAAATTTAAAGAACGCTTCTTATTGAATGACATTAATCCAATAGCTTTAAACACGATATAATTTTAAGTAACAACATTGTAAAAAAAAATAGACAAATAAGAGAAGTTGAGAAAAATTAATATTTAGAAACATCCACACTGTAGACACATGCCAACGCGCATACTAGTAAAAACGATTGATCACCATCTGGGAGGATATAGTTTTATGGTTCAAACATTTACACACACACACATACACGCACAAAACTTAATTAACTCTCCGCCATACACTTTCTTTTCAGGCAGTTGATGGATTACCGTCACTTGGAAAAAATATTGTTGCTGCCAAATTGTACCGGAAAGCTTCACTGACGATCAAATCAGAAAACCTGCTGTCAACACAAAGGAAAAATAAAGTCGACGGTTGATCTTTGTCGACCTTCCCATTTATATTATCCTTACGAAACAGTGAAAACAAAATACTGCTCCTATGTCAATTGATTTCAAATAATCAACTGTGTTGAATGGATTCCATTTTTCTCATTAATGTAATAACAACATTTGTGCCATTAATGTGATAAAAACATCTGGGCCCTATTATTTTGGTTCCCAATATCAAAGGGCGGTCTATCAATGATAGGTTCCGATAGCTTATTGGAGCATATACATAATATGCCAATGACCTTTTGACGGCACATACCTACACTAATTACCCCTTACAACTCTCGTCAAAGAGACACTTTTTCTTTTAAAACAATGATTTAAACTGACTTTTAATACAAATACTGCTCACGACGGGGAGCACTGGCCCCCGCTCCTTAGATCCACTACCGCTAGGGTCGGTGAAATTTTCAGGGTTTATTATCAGTAATAAGAGCATTTGGTGAAAATATTAAAATAATCTGAAGCTCAGTTTTTGTTAAAACAATTTATTAATAATGAGTTCATGCACGAATGGTGCAAATTGTACTAATTTCTGAAGTTTTTTGTAATAAATTTTAAGTGTCAACGTAAAATCCTCTGAAAAGCGGTTTTTTATTGAAGAAAATTTTAACTAATCATCTATGGCATGTAAAATTTTCAGGTTATATTAATAATACATATTAATAATGGTTTTACGAATATATGGTTGAAATTTGAATTAATTCTCAAATGCATTTTTAAATACGCTTTGCAATATTATTCTAGCCGGGATTTCTTCAACAATTTCTTCAGGTCCGGGCGAGTTGTCCGCAAATCTCATTCTCAGTTTAAACGATTTGTACATTATGTAATTTTATTAAGTTGAATGTGGAGTTTTTTTTATAATTTTTTGTGGCTTAAATTTTAAAAATAATAATAGCAATTGACCGAATTTTTAAAAAAATGTTTTACTAAGTTTCTGAGTTTATTGCTGTGAAAAAAATGCTTTGTCGAATAAAAAAAATATTAAATTTATCCATTTAAAATCTTTGGTTCATTTTCATTTGTTAGGAATAAATAAAAATAAATTTTTGAAAATTAAAGCGCATCAACATTTTGTGACGTCACTTGAAAATATTTCGTCAAAATAACATCATAAAGGTGATTAATAAAAATCTTCCATGAAAATCGCTAATTGCTAAAATCCAAAACGATAAACATCAAATAACATTCAATATAAATAAGCTTGAACTAAAACTAACTCGACAAATAAATTCATGAAAATCAAATCAGTTCTCAACAATTTAAACAAAATAAAGACAATAAAAGTAAGGAAAGAAAAAAAACTCTATTGAATAGGTTTAAATTGAGTCACTCACAACCACGGAATTTAAAACAAGAATCGCCCCATCCTATCTCTCCCAGTGTAAGCCCAACTGGAAGCCAGAGAAGCAATGACGTCACGCATCCCCAATAACTGATGTCAGGAGAAGCCAGCATAAAAATATACAGTCTAATGACGTAATTGCTTCTAGGTCAACGTTCAGATCGAACGCTTCATTTCACTTCAATGGTAACACAAAACTAACGCCAACATTCATTTAAGGAAGAACCTTTAACAAAATTACTCTAATAACATTATCACCCATCATCTTCGAATGTAAAACATATGACATGCAAAGAATAATTATATTATACCTACCAGCATGCAAACAGTTTTCGAAAATTCTACAACAATGGAAAGTCTACTAAACCTTATCAAAAATTTAAATTCAATTAAAGACCAATGAAAAAAACAAAAAATCAAATGAAAAAATGGACACAAATAGCCGATATCGAGCTCATACGCCTTAAAATATTGATATAAATAAACAAACAGTCGTTATTAATTTCAAAATGTTTCTGACACATTTACGACAGACACATTTTTAAATTATTTAGAATAGGTATCAAAAACTGGAAATATGAAATATTAAAAATTTATAATAATTAAAAAGTTATTTGACCAAATGATCGTTATGGTGTGATCAGAAGGACAAGCCACGCTGAGCGATTTGGCATATTCATGACGAGATATGAGGTGTGTAGATTTTCTTGGAATTTTGATGATGTTATTTTGAAAATAAAACAGAAATTTTAAAAATGTTCCAAGTACAAACAGAAAGCCACTAAAGCATTAGAAAAAAAGAGCTGGAGCAAGAAAGTTTGTTGAAGATCAGGCGGGTGATTTTATTTTGAATGGTCCGTAAATTTCTGACGACAGTGCGGGCTTTATATAAAAATAAATTACTATGGTCTAATCTTAACAGGGCTAAGACATTTAGAGCAAGAGTGATACCTACTTACGTTGGAACAATATGTTTAATATGTTTTATGCGCACAGGTGGTAAGTGCATGTTTTGATAGTTTCCGGTATAATTGATCAAAAGTTACATATTTTCCAAATGTAACATTAGATATATTGATAGAATTCGAGATTGATAATGTTGACCCTGCTGTCTTAACCTTACACTAAAAATTTCAGCAACTTACAAGACCTATGAGGACTAAGATGAAGAAAATTGTTTAGATATCACTGATGTAACTAATGAAATAAGAAATACAAATTTAAGTTTTACGTTTAGTGCCAATTATATTTCGTCAATATAAATTTATAGCAAAATTTATCAATTTACTTACAGCTTTCAAACATCATGGGACAAACTTGTTTATCCAGAGGATAATTTTCCAGTTTCATCGGACATGAGAGAGTAGCTGATATCCTAAATTTATTATAAATTTTCCATCAATCAGAAGCAATTAAAAAACTATCGCACATTATCAAACTAAAAGGCATTTGTTCAAAATCAAACAGTTTATTCAGCTTTTGATACTGTTGACCATACTATTCTCTTGAGACTGCTGCGTCTTTCTTTTAATATTACTGATTCTGGTCTATCTTGGTTTTCTTCTTATCTCTGTAATCGTTTTTCTTCTGTTGTTCTCAATAATTCTACTTCTAACTCCTCTACTCTTACTTTCGGGGTACCTCAGGGTTTTATCCTTGGCCCTCTTCTATTTATACTCTATACTTCTGAACTACCTCGTATTATTAATAACTTTTCTTTCTCTATTCAACTATAT